ATCTTACCGTATGATTCAGTTCTGGACAGTTCATTCTTTCCAGGCGAAGGGGAAACCTGGTGCCTAAACGGTCAGCCGCAACCACTAAAATTTTGTATGTAATTAATAGTATGTAATTCTTCTAGGTTTAAGGAACCATTCAGAATTTTATACCTTGAAATAAATGGGAATTTCCTTTACAAACTTTAACAAGAGAAAGATAGCGCCTGCACCCGAGAAAAACGTCCGATAGGCTTTGAGGCCTGCGTTTAGCCTAGTCAAATTAATCTGCGTTCAGTAAGAATGGGGAGGCACTTTTAATTTTCTTCAGTCGGTTTGTTGTACGCTTGTTCAACATTTATGAAGTTATGTGGTCATATGTGAGAGACTCGCGGCGTAGACGTTACGATGACAAAAGTCGTGTCTGTAGCTTCCGGTGTTAAAGCATCTGAATAATCAGATGCAGTCAAAATCAGGTATCGTTCAGTTCGGGCATCACCCCAATTTACGTTCTAGGACAGAAGTTTTATTTCAAGCCAAGTTTACTGATATGACAGAGAGTAGGTACTTACTTTTCAGCAGTTCGAATCACGGAGATGCGTACAGAAGAAGCATATGACACATACGCACTGAACTGAAGAGAAAGCGACCGTGCAGATAAAAAGAACGAATCAATTTATATCAGCGTCCAATTCGTCGTTATGGTAGCAGTAACAATTCAAAGTTATATTTGAACGAATCCTATCAGACATAATCCTGTCGGAAATAATATACGGGCGATTGCCTCCCTCGAAAATATGGTAGTTAGAACGGTCATTGGGCGCTAAAGCGCTAGCAAGGTCTCGCTGAGCTAGCGAATTGGATTTCTGTGATCAGTGGAGTCGTCTGAGTTTCACAGTGCCTTTTTAATGAGGAAATAGTCAGCCTACAATGATTTGACAAATGACTTTAGACAGCTTCATTTTCATCTCCTGTCGAATTGTTCTAAGGCAAGGCGTGGGATAGTTTTGCTTTTTGCTCTGCGACAGAACACCTTCTA